ATAATAACCTTGTTGAGTCTGGACATTATAACTATTTTTTTGTAATAACTGTAATAATTTAATAGATGTGTATAATTTCCAAGAGGACTCACGAACAAGTAACAAAATATATGTAAAAGAAGAGATATAGAAAAAAAACAAAAAATCATAAAAAGAATGGTGAACAAGCTGCCAGAGCAACACCTGGCTGTGAAATTGATTGTGAATATACAACTACAATTGTTGTCATTGTTCAGAATTGGGTCACTGCACTTCATAATTAAGGGATTTAGACGGCCTCGATAGTCTAGCGGTTTAGCATACCGCCTTAATTTCAATGGATTCGAGTTCGCTTCTCGCTCGAAACTAACATTTAAACCACAATAACTTTGAACAATTCACATGGAGCCATCTAGCCCCAAGCTAAGCAGAGCTTGTGTTATGAGTACTAGACAACTGATATAAATACTGAAATATTTTTTCTTTTATACCAGTAAATCTTTACATAGTATAAAGTGAAGAGTTTCCACTGTCTATTCGCTTAGATCTTTTAGACTACGCAACGGATTTTAATGCTGTTTTTAGCAGTAGATAGAGTAATCCAAGAGAAAGGTTTATATGTATAACTAGCTGTACTCGTGACTTCGTCTGCGTGGAATTTAACTAAAGTAGCCTAAGTTACTCCATCAGCTACCTGCCAGAAAAAGACCCATCAAAACCGGTCCAGCCATTTCAGAGATTAGCCGGAACAAACCGACAGACATACAGACAAAAATTGTAAAAAATATTATTTTGGTGTGTCATATGCATGTAGTAAAAAACGGTTATTTCAATATTACAGACAGACACTCCAATTTTACTTATATGTATAGATATATAGATACATGTACACCCGTGGGAAGCCGGGGCGGATATTTAGTAATATATATGCATTAAATATTTTATACAAAAACAGAATATAGATATCCCAGTGAACTATCCCTCTGACACAAAGCTATTTTAAACTCAAATTGATAAGCGCCATTGGTATTGCAATTATCGTAATCACACAATAATTAATTAACTTTATATACTATGTAATCATTTGAATATCTCTGTAGTACCTACATATACATATATTTTTATTATAAGTATTGATAAAAACATTATAAATATTATTTTATTGAAGAGTCCGCGTACAATTGATTTAGTAATATCTAAACAAAAATTATGTACAAAAAAAATAAAGAAATTACACTATGCATGCATAATATGATGTCCACGGCTACCTTTTACCATCGCACTTGCCATCGACAGGAAATTCATCCCCACACGCTGTTACCTAATTGGTCTTGAACAGTGTGGTTTCAGAGAAACTTCCTCCCGTATACACTTAAATTGTGGAATGAACTACCTGCCGAGGTTTTCTTGAGAGACTACAGCATGGAGTTTTTTTGTCTGTCTGTCTGTTTGTTCCGGATAATCTGTGAAATGGCTGGACCGATTTCGACGGGACTTTTTTTGGCATGTAGCTGATGTGATAAGGAGTAATTTAAGCTACTTTTATTTTAGAAAAATAAAGTAATGTTGCTATATTCCACGCGGACGAAGTCGCGCGTACAGCTAGTTTAGAATATATTAGGACGTTAATATGAGAATGGTATTGTGTAAATTGTCCTGATATATTTATTATATTGTATGTACTAACCACGTATAAAACTTTGTTCGGCGTTAGAGCAAGTATTAGAATATATTGGAACGTAATATTATAGCGATACATTAGCATATAGGTAATGATAAGTTTTGATAACAATCACGGACTTGTGACGTCACGTAGTTATATTTATATTACAGATATAGTGAACATAGCACTGATAACATAGTACATGTACTCGTATGTTAGGAATAGACAAAACACGACTTACACAATCTAGGACGCGATAATCGTAAATTATTAAGCGATATTATCGTAAATTTTACATCTTTCTTCTGTAATTCTTATAAAATCTATAGTATTTATTCAATATCGTTCTTCATTGTTCTTTGTTACCGTTAATTCTGCACAGTATTTTTAAATCGTTTTTTTTTTGTAATTTCTATTAAAATTATAATAATTACTAGCTTTTGCCCGCGGCTTCGCTCGCGTTAATATATCCCCTTAGGGGTGGAATTTATCAAAAACCTTTCTTAGGAGATACCTACGTCATAGTAGCTTTATGCAGCAAAGTCTCCCTATCGGTTTAAAATTAACAAAGTTTTATACAAACTTTCATCCCCTATTTTATCCATTTGGGGGTAGAATTAATCAAAATCCTTTCTTAGCGGATGCCCACGTCATACATCTACCTGCATGCCAAATTTCAGCCCGATCCGTCCAGTGGTTTGGGCTGTGCGTTGATAGATCACTATGTCAGTCACCTTTGTGTTATATATATTTAGATTACAGCAGAGCGCAATAACAGAAGTGTATTAAACAAAATATATATAAAGAAGATCATATTTTGAATATGTATAAAACATATAAAACTGCCCGTAACTCTCATTGTAGGTCTAAAACTTATTCATTCACATTTTTTATTTTTCTGTGAATTCAGCATTTCTGCATATTTAGTTGTAATTTTTATGCTGGCCCAAGCATTTTTATGCGTAAAAGGAGCCTTTATAGAAACTGAGTGGAGTTTAGTTATGATTGTATTACCTTTTTCTCTAGAGACTACAGCATGAGGTTTTTCAATAAGGGTATATTAAGGTTTCTTAAGGGTCGGCAACGCGCACGCGACACCCCTGGTGTTTTAGGCGTCTATAAGCTACGATAACCATTTACCATCATACTCGTGAACGAGTGCTGCTTGTAGGGACTGGTCTGCTCTTATCACTACGACTGATTTAATCTTATTGTGCTTTTATATTTGATCCCAAATAAATTAGTGCTGGTTGGTAGTTTGTATTCACACGTTCCGACTTGATAAATGTGAACTTACAAGGATTATTTAAAATAGCAACACACAAGTTTCTTGCTCTTGTTTATTCTTCTTGTGATGAGACAGCTTTCCGAATGAGCGATAAATTAAAAAAAAATTGTTGACTATTCACTAAGTACTTACTTAAATTAAGTTAATTAGAATGAATGATTTTCTATTCTATTCTATTCCATCAGATGGGTGTATGCCTATTTAATGGGTGTATACCTATACACCCATCTGATGGAATAGAATAGAAATAGAATAGAATAGGAACGGGGATAGCAACGATCATAAACCAGTCACGCAATTTACACGTCTAATTCAGTTTTCCGGTTTATCAATCGGCTATTAGTAATTAAGAATTGGTCATTAGGCCTTGATTACGATTGTTGATCGGTGGTCAGGGTGGCGAGACGGTCAATGGCCAAATTACCGGTTGCCAAAGTCATCATTGTCTTCCACAAGTTCATTACAAAAGCGGCTTTGAAGTTGATTGTGAATATACAACTATAATTGTTGTCATTGTTCAGAATTGGGTCACTGAAATTCATAATTATGGGATTTAAAACGACCTCGATAGTCTAGTGGTTTAGCATACCGCCTAAGGTCACGGGTTCGCTTCTCGCACGACAGTAACTTTTAATAATAATAACCCTGGACAATTTTCACAGGGCCTTCTTGTCCCAAGCTAAGCAAAGTTTGTGTGATGTACTAGATAACTGATATAAATAACTTACATACATTTTTTTGTAAATACGTACGTAATATACACATAAAAAACATCCAGATTGATATCATAATCATACACATGAATATAATATGATTGTCTGTATTAGTCTGTGTGTTGACTATATGCATATATTGTGTAAGTATTTAGAAAAAAAAAAGTATTCGCTTAGTTGGCACTATGTAAGTTATGGAAGGTTATATATATGTACTAGCTGTCCCGCGTCTTCTTCTTCAACTTCGTCTGCATCACAGTTATTTGACATTTATCATTATATTTTGCCCAGTTTACATAATATTTTTTAAAACCTATATGTTATTCTGATGTATAAGCTATATAACTGCAAATTTCATCAAAATCCGTTCAGTAGTTTTTGCGTGAACGAGTAACAAACATCCATACTCACAAACTTTCGCGTTTATAATATTACTAGCTACTCGCATCGACTTCGCATGGGTGTACGTGTATTATATGTATAAACCTTCCTCTTGAATCACTCTATCTATTTAAAAAAACCGTTGTGTAGTTTAATGATTTAAGCTTATATAGGGACGAACAGACAGCGACCGCGACTTTGTTTTATACTATGTAATGATTAAAATTAAGATATTGGTAGATTAAAAATGAGTATTAAAAATTGCTTAATATTAAATTTATTTGAATAACGATTACTGAGAGAGTTTAATAAGTAAATAAAACCCTGGCTTATGTAAGTCAACAACTACTTACAGCGTTTACTTATGTAATCTATCTTTAATTAGGTATATAAGGTGCATTATCAGATGCAAATGTTTGCAGTAGTTATGTGTGTATAATACTAGCTGATCGCAAACGTTGCTTTGCCATATCATTTGAAATGGCTATTAAAAAATAGGGGTTGATGCTAGAAGGATAAAAATTTAGTTGTATGTATTTTTTAATGACACATAAAAATAAAAATTGACCAAATAAAATGTTAGGGGTTAATAGGACAACCCTTATCACTTAGAGGTTATGAAAAATAGATTGTAGCCGACCTATTGAATATGCAAATAAAATTTCATAAAAATCAGTCAAGCTATTTCGGATAAGTATGGTAACTAACATTGTGAAACAAGACTTCATCTAAAACAGTGATCTTGATCATATAATGAAAAAATATTTAATAAACTAAACTAATAAATTCCAAACAACTCAATCAACAGCCTAAAATATAAGTTTCAAGCTTCGAGCTTTGAAAAATATGACACTTCTAAACTTTCAATCTTCAACAACTCCTTATAACCCTTTTTTTGGATTTATATTTAATCAATAGCCTAAGAAATAAGTTTCAGGCTTTTGGTATATAACATTTGTGCTGTTCACTGTTGCAGGTAGCCGCAATGTGGTGATAACGACGTGATGATGAGACTCGACGCCGATAAACACCGCTACCACAACTTACTGAATGATGACCATGCCAGTGAGTACTTTGTTTATATTAGAATATAATTTATTGAAATAAACTTATAATACATTGAAGCACTTTTGAATAGTCAGCACATTTCTTTTTAATCTACCGCTCATTCGGAAAACTGCCTCATCAGAAGAAGAACGAACAAGAAACTTGCGTGTTGCTCTTTTAAATAATTTTATTGTTAAGTTTACATTTTAAGTTGAAGTGTGTTTAACTGTCCTAGTCCCGTTGTTAGTGATAACCATCGCTTGAACAGGCCTACAGACATCACGTTATCATGTAGAATAGAATAAAAAATCGTTCATTGAAATAAACATAATTATAGCATCATTGAACATTTTACAAACAATCATATTCATGAATATAAAGGTTTTTTTTAATTGATGATAATGGAATTGTGCCTCTGCATACACTGACGGTTTACGCTGGCGGGGCACCAGTGGAGGGTGATAAGATGAGCATAAGATCAGGTCAGTTAGCCCATTGTCATGAATTCATAAAGAATTTATCATGATGGTTTCTAGGAGGAACCGCGTGGAGGTCAACGTGACATGGTACATAGCAATAAGATCATCAGTCCACATTACTAACAAACCCCTTTCCTACCGAATACAAAAGTTTGTACCGTGTGAGAAATCGAACTTGCGACCATTACATAAGGACACTGCCTTAGAAGTGAATAGAAAATCAAATGGTATAAGAATAGAATGAAACAAAATAGAAAATATTTTATTCAAATAAACTTAATGTAAGCACTTTTGATTCATCATTCATTCTTTTAGTCTACCGCTCATTCGGAAAGCTGTCTCATTCCGAATGAATGGTAGAATAAAAAATGTGACTATTCAAAAACGCTTATATTAAGTTTATTTGAATAAAGATTAATTCTATTCTTGAATCACTACCTATTGCTGAACTAATTAAAATCCATTATGTAATTTAAAACATATAAGTAAATATACAGCGGCCGCAACTTCGTTTTATACTATGTACAGACTGCGATTATTTATATTTTTATTGTATGTATGCATTTTATATAAAATTACATCCGCTACCTGCCAATAAATGTCCCGTCAAAATCGATCCACCCATTTCGAAGATTAGCCGGAACAAACAGACAGACAAAATTTGTAAAAAATGTTATTTTGGTGTATGTACCGTATATATATTCATATGCATGTAGTAAAAAGTTTATTTCGGTATTACAAACAGACACTCCAATTTTATTTATATGTATAGATGATCTATAAACAACATGTACAGTACATCGTACAGTACAGACTTAGTTATATTTTTATTATAAGTATATATTATACATTGTATATCGAACGATCAGTCTATAAGCAACACGTCGCTACCCACCTGGTAGTCGTGTGCACACGCAACTTCCTGTGTGGCTTCCTGTGTTTTGTGACCCATACCCGTGACGTCACGGCCGGCTGGCGACCGTCTGCCATCCGCTGTGACTGTCATTACCTATATATTTTATTATATAAAAAGTGGGAGAAGAAAGATATCCCGTCAGGTTGTAAGAGGTTATGGAGTATAGGGTTGTCGCTCGCTTAATACACTGACTACTTTCTATGTAACTTGCAACTTTGGGTTAGCAGGGTTGCCAACTGCACGAGACTCCTCCCATTTGTTGGAGATTTTGAGCCTTCAGCATGGGCATATTTTCACCTCTTACAAGTTTGAACTAGATATTGTTCTATGAAAATCAGTCAAAATACTAAGATGAGTGAATGGAGAGTAAAATTGAGCTAATATAGGAATTTTTATGTCTTAGTACGAGGGTATTTGTTTTAATATTGGCAACCCCAAATCATAGTCGCATCCTAGAAATGGTATTACCGAACCGATATGCCTTAAAGAAACCAGTCAGAAAAACAACAAAACCAACTGCTAGGTAGATTCTCTTTTTAAAAGTCTGTTAAAAGTCACAACAGGCGTAATAACTGCTACGTAGATTCTCTTTTTAAAAGTGTGTTAAAAGACACAACAGTCGTAATAACTGCTACGGAGATTCTCTTTTTAAAAGTCTGTTAAAAGGAACAACAGTCGTACCAACCGTTATGTAGATTCTCTTTTTAAAAATCTGTTAAAAGTCATTGGAGTCGTATCAACTTGTATTAGATTCTCTTTTTAAAAGTCTGTTAAAAGTCATAACAGTCGTACCAACTACTACATAGATTATTTTTTTAAAAATCTGCTTAGCCACAACAGTCGTACCAACCGTCTGTGTAATGAACAATAAGGTATAGTAGTTATTGTGCAATTCGCAATAGACATCCGATACCATCATTGTATAATGACGCGTGGTGACCCTGGCCCGGTAGCCATGTTGCCGTGGCGCCCACCCACGTGACGCTCGCTTTGATCTAGTCACAGATCTATGCATACATGACTTCAATTGTTTAAAGAGGACTACTTCAAATATTTTGACTTGAATAATATCGTGTTTGATTACTTGAACCTACATACATTGAGTTACTAATACAACCAATAATACCTAATAATAATATACACCACAAGGCTTAAGAAACTGGCAAGAGCTGAGAAAATGAAGCAAAATAGTAGAGCAAGCAAAGAAGCAAAGTAATAATAACCTAGGACAATTTTACACAATGCGGACTATATATACAATTGATATATATGAATACATTTTTTCATTTTAATTTTCCGTATACATACATACATATACATACATAATATACATAGAAAACACCCAAACCGATACAAACAATCATACTTTGTACCCAATGTATACAATTGTTTGCATCAGGGATGTTTGGGAGCTCCGTAACTGCAACCAAATCCGAAATAAGAGTTTCGGATAATATCGGATAGGTGCGGACCCTAATTGAGACACATTGTGTAACCATATAATTAGCTATTTGTATTTTCCTTTCGAAATTCCTTAAAAAAATAATACCCGTAACCGAAATTATCCGAAACGGATAATCCGAAATAATTTCATACAAGCATCCGGTATAATAATCATTCCTATATTCGAAACCTATCCGTATTCGAAATTTCATATCCATAGCATCACTGGTTTGCATCGCGCGAGTAATCAAATCGTCGGAAGTATAGCGGTATGCTAAAAAAATATCTGAGTACAGTGGACCCGCGGTAATCCGGCTCCTGTCTAATTCGGCCCCCCTTGTAATCCGACATTGTCTATTATTTGTTATTGAATATTACTTTGACAATATACTTCAGACTGCACATACATACATATACGTACATATATAACATAGAATCTTATCACTGGATCTGTAATTTGTCGGATTACAAGATACTCTTTTGTAAAAAATTCCGGACTATAAGCAGAGGACCCTTAAGCAGCACTCTATAATCCGACAAATACGATGGTCCGACACTGCCCTGCAAAACGTTTGTCGGATAACCGAGGGTCCACTGTATATGTATATAATATAAAGAATCATCATTGGATCTATAATTTGTCGGATTACAAGGTACTCTTTTGTAAAAAAAATCGGACTATAAGGGGTCTTAGGCAGTACTCTATAATCCGACACTGCCCTGCAAAATGATTGTCGGACTACCGGGGGTCTACTGTATTTATATCAGTTGTCTAGTACCCATAACACAAGGTCTGCTTAGCTTGGGATTAGATGGCGCTGTATGAATTATCCTGGGTTATTATTATTTCCTGGAGCACCATTTCATTAGCATTCATAAAAAGGTAAATATTATCAGATAACATTACATCTACAAATCAAGATGCGACGCGAAGGTCACGACTGGTTATTGAATTCTAATGATGTCAACATTACATCATCGACCTTGTTGACCGGCTTAGGGATGATGTTCGCGTATTTATTTTTATATATACAAATTACGTGTCACGCTGTTGGTCCGCGATGGACTCCTAAACTACTAAACCGATTGCAAATTTGATTTGCGCGTTGTGTGCAGTTTGATTCAACATGAAAGATAGGATAGCTTACATCTCAATTTATAGTCGCAATATTATTTTATTCAAGAACCTTAGCCACAGCAACGCGTGGCCGGTTCTGCTACTTTGTCTGTATTTTATTTCCCTACCTTTTGCAATATTTTTCATTGCAGCATAATGTTATATAGCTTAAAACTTTCCTCGACAAATGGACTATCCAACACAAAAATAATTTTTCAATTCGAACCAGTAGTTCCTGAGATTAGCGCGTTCAAATAAACAAAGTCTTCGGCTTTAGAATAATACTAGCTACTCGCTCCGGGTGTACATGTATTATACATATAAACCTTCCTCTAGAATCACTCTATCTATTAAAAAAACCGCTTCAAAATCCGTTGCGTAGTTTTAAAGATTTATAGCGACGGAGACGGACAGACAGCGACAGCGACTTTGTTTTATACTATGTAATGATTAGTATATGTAGATGAATTGTTGGACGTAAAGACGTTCGAATAAACGCGGAAGTATTTAAGTTTTATAATTGTTAATACCAATTAAGATACCGTGTTCATTAACGTTTACTTTTTGCGGGATTTCAACGTTTTTAAATGTACTAGTGAGTGAAGGGACTTTTAAGCATTTAACTATAGCAATACTAACTCTATTGCATACAATGTACTAACTAGGCTCCCCATATACACCGACCTGACGTGGTACCATGTCTGTTCGATGTATATGGAGTCCAACTGAATTTAATTACTGAATGAATTTAATTCACCACGATGGGCTAACTTAACCTGTTGCTCATACCCTTTTTTTTAACGTGCGGAAAATCTTCAAAGATCCCGCTGGAAGGATAACAGGTAGGATTTTTACCCACTGAAAACCTACTCGGTGTACCCACGTGAACCTATGCCGGAGCTACGGGTTTCGCATGTGCATTCTACCCCAATGCTCATATAGCCTACCTCTCTCATAGACATCGTTCTCCACTAGCGTAAGCTGTTGAGTGTGACATCTGAATTCACCATTCCTTAATCTACGCTAATATTATAAAGAGGTATGGTTGTAGGGTGTAATCTTT